GAACAATAAAAATGGTGCACAATTCCAAAACAAGAACTGAAAATTAACAATGTTTGTTATATATTGTCATCAAATTTGTTGCTCAGATTACCAGAAGCATTAACTCTTCCTTTCACTATACCTTAATGTTTTCCTTGTCCTTTTTTTTACTTTAATATGTTTTCAAGAGAGTATAAAAATAATAGATGAAACATTAGAGATGATACACAATTAAAAGAATAAGATGAAGAGGATTCAGCTGTGATTGTTATATTGCACATTGCTGTCCTCAGTAAAGTTGCTCATGTTACAGATGCTAGTATATAGAGTTCATCAAAGAAAAAAAATTTAATTTTTACTTTTATTTTTGCGGTACCATGATTGAACTCAGGCCCTTGCACTTGCCAGGGAAGTGCTTATTCTACTGAGCCATCTCCCCAGCCCCAAAGAAAAAATTTTAGATATTATCTACTACTTTTGAGAAACCAACAGAAGTTAGCAGTACAATCATCTCTGCTATCCTGTGTTCATACTTAACATATTTTTTCCCTCTTCCTTTGATAATCGCATTTTGTCAAATGTTATTGATAGTAAATTTAAAATTTAATCCCTTTCAAGGTACAGGTATTGCTGGGCAAGGTGGTGTATGCCTATGACCCTTGCACTCAGAAGCCTGAGGTAGAAGGGTTGCCTCAAGTTCAAGGCCAGTCTTGGCTACATAGTAAATTCAGGGGCAGCCTGAACTATTCAGAGAAACCTTCTCTAAAACAAACAAAAATATGCATATAGTTGTGCTTTTTATTTTTAGATTTTTTTTGGTACTTTCAGTTCATATCCCTAGAAAATAAAACATTACTTGATTTTTTTTTTACTTGATATTATTTGCTAAGAATACCATTATTCACATGCAAAATATTTGTTTCCTATGATAACATTTGTGAATTTCTAAGCTTACTGTTTTGTTTAGTGAGCTTTCTTCATGTTCATTTGAGTTTTTTCAGTCAGCTATTAGAAAACAGCAGTTACTAGTATACATTTATTTCTGTTGTGCAGATTTTTGATGAAGATACTAGATCCTTGGAAATTCCTCAGTCTTACAGTACTACACAAAGGGAATCCAGTGATTACAATGTGCCTTGCAAAAAAAGGAAAATTGAAGTAGGCTGGGAAGTACTGAAAGATCATCTCCAGAAGTCACAGAATGACTGTGATCTTGTGCCTTGGTAAAATGCTACCTTTTACTCGCATGCTCTCATTTCAGTCTTGGTTTATTTTTTCCTCAGAAAGCTTCCATCATAATCATTTCATCTCATTGAGTACATAATTCATCTCCTGGACTCTCAATTATTTATCTATTCCCAAAGTCATTTATAGCAAAGGGAAATGTGATTGAGTTATAAGGGACATTATTTTGATATGCTTTGCTTAAACTCATGATTATTTTACATAGTTGAGCGTACCTATTTCAGATTCTTTAATTTAATTTTTTAATTTTTTTTTTGGTGGAGGGGATTGAACTCAGGCCCTTGTGCTTGCCAGGGAAGCGCTTATTCCACTGAGCCATCTCCCCAACCCCTCTTTAATTTTATCTGCTCAGTCAGGAGTTAATTTATTGAACATCTGCTACATGTTGTGCATTGGGGTTGCAGAAATGTATAACAAGGTTCCTGTTTTTGAATAGCACATGTGCTAGGGGTTTCACAGCAAATAATTTATTCAGTTTACTGAATTAACGTAAGGAAAATGTTTTGAAAATTTATTTTTTATTCATGTTGCAGTACGTGATTACATTCTTCATGGGGAACTTGTATGTGTACACAGCACGTCTTAGTCCTTTTCTCATCCTCTCCCCTCTCCTCCTCCTCTCCTGTCATGTCTTGGTCCCCTTTGCATTTGCAGAAGATCTAGCTCCCTGCTTCCTATTGTCTTTTAATTGTCTTTTAATTTGTTATTTATATTTTTGAGTTTCTCATAAAGGAGAGTCTGTATGATGTTTAACCTTGTATGCATCAAGATGCATCATTTTTTTACAGCTGATTCAAGTTTACCCTTCCTCATGGCAGAGTGTGTAAATGCCACATATACTTTATCCATTCACCTGTGATAAGCACATAAATGATTTCCAAGATTTAGCTATTTTAAATTGTGCTGCCATCAGCATGGGTGTACAAGTAGCACTATAAAATGATGCATTTAACTTTCCAGGGAAATACCTAGGAGGGGAATGGCTAGGTTGAATGGGGTTTCTATTTTTAGTTCTTTGAGGAATCTCCAGTGATTTCCATAATGGTTATAGAATTTACATTTCCACCAACAATGTTGAAGGGTTCCTTTCCTTTTAACACCATAACGAGTCAAGCATTTGTTAGTATTTTATTTTTCTTCTCCCCTTCCCTCCCCTCGCTTGCCCTCTCCTCTCTTCCCCTCCCGTCCCCTCTCCTCCCTTCCCCTCCCATCCCCTCTCCTCCCACTTTTTTTTTTTTTTTTTTTAGGTAGGCTCTATCTATGTAATTCACGCTGTCCTTGAACTCATTGCGTAGTCCAGGCTGGCCTCAGATTCACAACAGTCTTCCTGCCTCATCAACCTTCTGAGTGGCACAATTATAGGCAGGTGCCACTGTGCCCAGCTGATTTCATTTGTTTTTGTTTTGTATTTTAAGGAAGGGTCTACAGGGTCTTTAGGGTCACACTACTAGATTGGACTCCTAGTGATCTGCCTGTTTACAGCCTCCCAAGAGCTGGGATTACAAGGTGTGCCACCACACCCAGTCTCAATTGCTATCTGAGGATGCCCCAGGGGTGGGGCCTAGGGATTGAACCCCAGCCCCCTGGGTCTGCTTGCAGGTGCTTTTATCTGCTGAGCTTTTTGGTGGGCCCTGAGCTGATTTCTTTTTTTTTTTTTTTTTTTTTTGGAGGAACCGGGTATTGAACTCAGACCCTTGCGCTTGCCAGGCAAGTGCTTATTCTACTGAGCCATCTCCCCGCCCTCCCGAGCTGATTTCTTGATGTTGGCCATTCTGTCTTGTGTAAGGTACAGTGTCAGTGTTGTTTTAATTTTCATTTCTTTAATGTCAGAAATAGTGAACGTTTTTACATGCATTAATTGGCCATTTGTATTGTACTTCTTGAAGTATGTATTCATTTCATTTGTCCATGTTTTGATTGTTTCTTTAATTTTGGTAAGGGTCTTAATTTTTTATATTTTACTTCACTTTACCTTTACTTCACCTCACCTCACCTTACCTTTACTTCACCTCACCTCACCTTTACCTGTACCTGTACCTGTACCTTGTGCTTGCCAGGATTTTTTTTTTTTTTTTAATTCTGTATATATTATAGATACTAGTCTTCTGGGAATCCCTGGCAAAATTCTTTTCCCCTTCTGTAAATCATCTCTTAACTTCTTTTTTTTTTTTTTTTTTAATTTTTTTTTTCCCCCGCTGTGAAGGTTTTGTTTGATACCAGGAATTGCCCTTATGACCTTGCAGGTGACAAACCACTGATCTGTATCCCCAGTCCTATGAAGAAGTTTGTAAAATTTGATATCCTATTTGTTGATTATTGACCTTGTTTCTTACGTAATTGACACTCTGTTTAGAAAGTACTTACCTACACATCTTCAAGCGTTTTCTATTCAGTCTATTTTTTTTTTTTTTTGAGAACCCGGGATTGAACTCAGACCCTTGCACTTGCCAGGCAAGCGCTTATTCTACTGAGCCATCTCCCCAGCCTCCCAAAATAATGTTTGTTTGTTTGTTTGTTTGTTTTTGGTTTTTTTGCAGTACCGGGGATTGAACTCAGGCCCTTGTGCTTGCCAGGCAAGTACTTATTTTACTGAGCTATCTCCCTGACCTTTAATGCGTTTTATTCTCTTTCAGAAGATTATTTCTATAAAAAGATTGTTTTTTCTTATCCTCTTGTAGAGGAACATTTTTGCTGACTGAAAAGCAGGAATGGATTGCGTATGACATGTAATCTCAGAGTATGTCACTTTCCTGTTGCTGGGACACAGTGTCCAGTACTCAAAACTTGAAGGAAGAGCTTGGCTGGTGGTTTTTGTCGATTCAGCCGTGGTTGGCTGGCTCTAGGAGAGATGGCCGTGGCGCGGCGCAAGACTGTGGCAGAAGAAAGCTTCTCACCTTGTGGCAGCCTTGGAGCAGCAGGAAAGGGTAGAGCTGGGACCACGGGTGCCTCCCTGTAGATCACAACTCCAGTGACCCACTTCGGCCCTGTGTCCTGTGTGTGTTTTGGCTGTGAACTCATCAGTGGGTTAATCTAGCGACAAGTGTAGTGTCCTGACGAACCAGTCATTTAAAAGCCCCAACTCTGAAGGCATGAGACACTTGGGGAACATATTAGATCTAATTCATAACATCCAGTTACTTGAAAGGCAAAGCCAAGAGGATTGAAAGTTTGAGGCTAGCCTGGGAAATTTAATGAGACCTTATCTTTTAAAAAGTTGTCATTCAAGGGCCGGGGAGATAGCTCAGTAGGCTAAGTGCTTGCCTGGCAAGGGCAGGGTCCTGAGTTCAATCCCCGGTACCGCAAAGAAAAAAAAAAATTGTAATTCAAGATAGAATGCTTACCTCGCAAATGTAGTATCCCCAGTTCTGAACAAACAAAACAAAACAAAAACAGGAATAAGCAAAATAAGTGAGAAGTGGAATATTTCTGATTTAGTTGTTTATGAGAAATTAAATTGCTTGCCCACCTAGCCAGAAATTTGTCAGTCTTCCTGTCATTTTAGGAAGTAAGACCTAATAAATGCTAACTTTTACTTTGAGAACTATATAGAAAATGGTAGTAATGCTTTAATTAAAATGTAGGGTGTCATGTTGATATATTCATGTTTGTATATTTATGTATTTTATTTAGCTTTTTAAGATAGTTAAAAGTTTTAAAATTATTCGTCTTCTCTTTTTTCCTTTTAGGCTGCGGATTATAACCCAGTTAATAGCAAAATATCCAGCAAGTTTACCTGACTATGAGCTGTGTCCGTTACTGATGATATTATACCAGCTTCTGTGTCAGCAGCGACGAGGAGAGCGCACACCATATGTGTTACGATGCCTTACAGAAATCGCACTATGTCAAGGCAAGAAATCAGACCTAGAAAGCTGTCAGAAGTCGGATTTGTTGAAACTCTGGATTAAAATTTGTTCTGTTACGTTTCGTGGTGTCAATTCTGTACAGATCCAAACAGAAAACTTTGGCTTGCTTGGAGCCATTATTCAAGGTAGCTTACTTGAGGTTGACAGAGAATTCTGGAAGCTATTTACTGGGTCAGCCTGCAAACCTTCAAGGTAAGTTAAAGAATGCAGTTTATAGATACACAGACACACCATCCACCTACTTCTGATTACTTTCATGGTTATTTTAGTTAAATATATATTAAATCCAGTCTGTTTCAGGTGCATTTGTTGTTTGGCTGTGAAGACTTAATACATTTATAGATATGAAGTTAGTTTCAAATGTGGAGAGATTTGTAAGATCAATTTTAAAGAATTTTTAAAAAGAATTATAGAGCTTAAATTTGCTTTATCCCTAATTTAAAAATATTTAGCATTCATAAGTTGTATTATTTTTTAGTAGTAGTAGTAGTAGTACTATCTACTGTTACTGTGAGAGTTCTGAATGAAGAGTCTTCTCAGATAAAACCAGGGGTTTTTGCAGCTTTTGCTTATGCGTGCCATATGCCTAGCTCTGTCCTGAGCACTACAGGAAAACTGTTACATAAAATAGGCCCTCTGGGAGTTTGCTCTTCTTTTGTTATTATTACTTGGTGCTACTGGGATCCTTACCTAGGACCTCTAGCATGAGCTTCCCTCACTCAGCTCATGATAGCTTGCTTGTAACAGTTGTCTTTTGTTTCTTTGTAGTGCTGCAGTAGGCTGTTTGACTTTGGCTCTCACCAGCTGCGTGATTCCAGAAACATTAAAAACAGGAACAGAGCAAAATGTATGTGAAGTAAATAGAAGCTTTTCTTTAAAGGAATCAATAATGAGATGGCTCTTACTCTGTCAGTCAGAGGATGACTTAGAAGACAATGAAGAGCTCCCTCCTATTCTTCAGAGGTAATTTCATTAGCATAGTTTCCTTTGTTTTATAAAGCATTCTCCTTGTATGATACCAGATGGTTTTCTTTGCTAGTGATAATGCAGGAATTTTTCAGTTATCTATAATTTGAATAATTGTCTTTGTTTTTCGGGACTGTGTCTTTGTGGCTATATCATTTCTTGCATAAAAAGGTAGTCTTACTCTGAGAATATACATGTGTGATTTGTAGAACTTTTGAGTGGTATGTATAAATTATACTTAGTTTTGGGGTACTGTGTAGTGTTTTGATGCATATATATATATATATATATTGCATAATATTCAGATGGGGCTGGGGATACAGCTCACTGGCATAAGCATCTTCCTGGTAACACAAGGTCCCGAGTTCAATCCCTAGTACTACCAAAAAAAAAAAACCCTAAAAAAAATATATATTTATATATTTTAGAGGGTATATATATATATATATATATATTTTTTTTTTAGTTACGATCAGGGTATATCTGTCTCCCTAAGCAGTTGTCACTTCTTTGTCAGAAATATATCAGAAACCCTGTATTTTTTCACAATAAATATACAGTACCTTATTCTCTATACTCATCTTAGTGTACAATAGAACACAGAGCTTTGTGTATGTAGCAGTAAATTAGTACAGTTAACCTCAATGTGGATATTTCTTCAAGCATCTGTTCCTTGGTGATCTTCTTTAAATAATTCCAACCTATGACTCAGACTCAGGTGAATCTCTAATCCATAATTGTACTAAGTATCTTCTTGGTGAAATTTGTTTAATAAAATTATAATACCAAAGACAGACAGAATGGTACTTAAGCCTTGGGGTGAGGAATGGGCCACCCTGCTCACTTCACCTTAGCACAGATGGTAGTAGTAACAGAATGACTGAAATGTAGGCCTCGAATCCTGGTGCCTTTTTTTTTTTTTTTTTTTTTTTTTTGGTGGAACTGGGATTGAACTCAGGCCCTTGCGCTTGCCAGGGACGCACTTATTCCACTGAGCCATCTCCCTGGCCCCAAATCCTGGTGCTTTTATTTTAATTTCATAATAATTTGTTAATTTTACAAATGACCTTTGAAAATGAGACATTTTTCTTCTAAGAAGTATAATAAACAGCACTAATGTGTATATTATGTTTAAATTCTCTTCTGAGGTATTAAGATACAGTCAAATGAAAGCAAGTTTAATTTATGATCCAGATTTCAGAAGTTAAGATTTATATCTAACCATGGATATTGAAAAAAATTTGAAATGGCTTCTAAGTGAAGTTTTTTGTTTTTCTTTTTTCTTTACAGTAATTTTCCTCATCTCATCTTAGAGAAAATTCTTGTGAGTCTCACTATGAAAAACTGTAAAGCTGCAATGGATTTTTTCCAGAGTATGCCAGAATGGTATGTTATCAAATAGAGTTCTGTGATATTTGAAGATATATTTTTAATTATAGATACAATTTTAGCAGGGTAGTAGCTGCATCTTAATAATTATGACTCAAGTTGGTTGAGTAAAAAAACCCTCAACTGATTTCTTGGAGGTTTTGCAGGCTGTAGCTTCACTTACTGAACTAAAACAAAAGTTTTTCCTCTTCTTCTAGTGCTGTTTCTTCTGTTTGGTTAGCCCTGTTACTCTTTTTGCTGCATTAGCCCCTCTGATGGTGTCTTGGTTACTTTTCTCTCATTGCTGGGACAAAATACCCGACACCCAAAAATGAAGGAAGGAGATATTCATTTGGCTCACAGTTAGTGGAGGTTTCCATCCTTTCTTGGTTGGCTCCAGCGTGGATGGCCACAAGGCTGAGGGCAGCCATTCGTGGCGGTGTGAGGCAGCCAGAGAAGGGAGAGCCGAGAGGGAGGAGCGTCGCTGAGAGCAGGCCTCTCTCCCTTCCTTCTGTTGCATTCAGGGTACCCCCAGGAGTAGCACTCACACCCAGACTGCCCTTGAGAGGTCCTGAAAAACTCTCAGTAGCTGCCTTGTGTCTCTTTTATTTGCAGTAAGGAGAGGAATAAAAATGGTTTCAACCTGCCTTCAATTTCAAAAAAAAAAAACCTTCAACTGTTATGCAAGGAAAAGATTCTTGTAATTCAGTCACCAAAATCTGTGGACTATAATTTTAGGTCAAGGTTATTCTATTTTAAGTGTCAGTAGAAAACACTAAATAATTTTGATGGGAAATTAGCGTCATACATAAATTTTCTGTCAAATGAGTTCTTAGGTGTGATCCATTTAATATTTCAATTAAAATTTGGCATTCAGCTTTAAAACTGATAATTAAATTTAAAAATAAATCTAAAGATGTAAATTTAATGAATTGACTCAAAAACTTGTTTAGTTCCTGCAGGTGACTCACTAGCATGAATATTCCTCATCTTTCTATGAGGGATTAAGATGAAGAAATACAAAGGCTGGCCAAATAGCTCAGCAGATTAAAGTGCTTGCAGGCAGCCACAGGGGCCTGTGGTTCAATCCCTGGTCCAGCCTGCCAACCCCAGCCCTGGGGCGCACTGAGTGGGCAGTTGAGACTGGGCGTGGTGGCGAGAACCTGTAATCCCAACTCTTGGGAGGCTGTAAGCAGGAGAATCACTATGAGTCTGATCTAGTAGTGAGATCCTGAACACCCTGTAGACCCTGTTTAAAAAAAAAAAAAAAAAGAAAGAAAGAAATGGAACTTTATGAAGAAAACACAGGTGAAAGCAAAAATATTATTTCTGGGAATGTTATTTTCAACATTTATGTCTGATGTTACTATTCCATTACTTCCTGAATTTGTCATTGAAATTGTAACTTGTATTTGTTTTGTCCACCTATTAGTAAAATTTGCTACCGAGTTAATGTATTCATATGTAATATATAGAGATAGAATATGAGGTATTTTGATTATAAAGATCTCACTCTTCTTGAAGTGAACACCACCAAAAAGATAAAGAAGAGCTTTCATTCTCAGAAGTTGAAGAACTGTTTCTTCAGACAACTTTTGACAAGATGGATTTTTTATGCATTGTGAAAGAATGTGCTGTAGAAAAGTATCAATCCAGAACTGGCTTTTCTGTCCACCAAAACCTCAGGGATTCATTGCATCGTTATCTTCTGGGATTATCAGAACAACTTCTAAATAATTCCTCAGAGGTAAGATTTTAAAGAACTAGTGTCTATCCAGTGGTCCCTCACTTATCACTGAGGTTATGTTCCAAACACCCCAGCAATAAGTGAAAATCAGCGAAGTAGTAACGTTATGTTTATTTTAGTATTTATACATATTGTAAGACTTTATAAACTCTTCCCACGCTCTTATAAACCTTTCCCACTCATATCAAAACACTTCTAATGTTCTTAACCGTTTTCTAAAGTCCTAAACCTATGTAATTTTAACAATATATGTATACTGTATGGAATAGCATATATTCTTCTGGTTAAAAAATACATACTATAAGCTTTTATTTTGATTTAATATTTTAATATGCTAGAATTAACATTTTAATGTATTTTATATATTTTAAATTTTAGGCAAAATTCATTAAAACCATGAATGCTATTATGCACATAAATATGTACACTATCACAGAATCCCACAATATAACAAAAAATCCATGATAAATAATTTAGGTTAATATTTTTTTGAAAACAAAAATACAGTGGCCCCTCACTTATCACACTTACATGGAACAGTGAGTCTCAAACTCAAACTGTAAAATAGTGAGGGACTACTGGGTTTACAAATGAGATGCAAGGTCCAAGCCCAGGCGCGGCATGAGTGAGACATTTTTCCACCCCCTTGGGACCTCCACCACCACTCTGCAGGACCAACCCATCCTGCCCACTCAGTGAGAATTTCTGCTGCATTCTGGAGACCCCCAGATTGAGCCCTAGTCCAGGCCCGGTGAGTGTGTGGGAGAGCTTAGTCTCTCCCCTACTCCACCTTGTCCCTTCCAATCTCAGCTCAGGCCAGGCATACAGGCCTGAGGTACAACACTGCAGCTACAATCCCTGCACAGAGGGTAGGGACAAAGCCACCCAGCTAGCCAGGAGCAGAACATCTAGCCAGAGGGACAAAACAGATTCACTCCCAAGGGAGGCATCAGGAAGGAACTGAACACAGCAGAGAGACCCAAGCCAGGCATAGCAGAATAAATCCAAACTTTGCAGACCTGCATGTGAATTGCAGTAGGTGCTAAGGTTATAACTACACCAAGTCTCTACAACAAAGGTCAGAAGATAGTGCTACACAAAATGACAACAAGAAGGAGCAAAATGCAATTTCAGACACCAAACACACACATAACAAATGTAGAGGACACTAAAACAGAACAAATTGGGACTCACACAGCTGAAATCAATGAATCAACAGCTTCTGAAATAAAGAAAGAACTGCATAAAGGTATAGAGGAACTCAGATTAGAAATGAAAAAAGAAATCCCTGAATTAATAGCATCTTTAGTAAAGAATCAAATGCAGAAACATATAGAAGAAAGCCAATGCCCACCCAGAACAAGTGCAGAAGACATTAGCTAAGTTCAAATGTATGAATTAATAGCATCAATACTAAATTAGCAATAGCAGAAAGTAATAGAGGATCTCACAGCAGAATTCTTTTCTACTAGCTCAGCTCAAATGTATGAATTAATAATGTCGATAGTAAATAAGCAACAGCAGAAAGTTTTAGAGGAACTCAGAGCGGAATTCTTTTCTGA